TTCCTTCGCTGTCATTTCTCTTTCTAGCTTCCTCTCTTCCTCTTTGGCTTACGGTCACTCTCATTTTCTCGCTAATTCTCCCTTTCGTTCTTTTACTGTCCGACTATCTCTCTCACTCTAACTCTTTTCAATATTGTCCCATACGATCAACTGAATTTTAATTTCACCAAACGTTATTCGGCTATTTAAAGTATGATGTAAACGAATAATACACCATCAAAACTACTAAATGATTAAATCCTCGTCCACGTTGTAAATCTGCCACTCATTCCGGCGAGTAAACAGCAGCAAATACTAACCAGCGTGTACGAAAAGATCTTGCCGAAAGCATTTCGCCTGCGCGACGCCCACGCGACACCACCGAGCAATCTCAACCCGTTGTCGTCGCCATGGTTCACGCTGCGCAGCCAGCAGCGCTTAGCTGGCACACCCGACAACCATCACCTCCCAATTAGGCCCGTCGTGCTCGCAGAGGCAGAACCCAACAAGGAAATTGGACTTGGATTACCCGTTAATTATGTCTTGTACAGGTGTAATACGCCCGAAATAAGACGCTAAGCAAGCCGGGCACGTGGCCAAGCGCGCCCGCTGGCCGAAGGGCTTTCTCTCGCGCCGCGTGTCTGTAATAGCCGCATGCGGACTACTCTTATGTCTCTAGATCGATCCGGTGATAAAGACTCTATAATTCCGCCATAGCTAATTAGGCCACGAGCTCGTTCGCCGTGTTACCTGCGCAGAGGTGTGTATTTATCAGTTGTATACACACTCCATTAGTGCTCCTCGGGAATAGCAAACTGTAAAGCGCGAAAACATACGGGGGCTGCTCTTTAAAGGTCTTTAACGCGCAATGGAAACGATAGTCGTTGCCGGCGAAAGAATAGAGTAGGGCTATTTAGTGAATTGTTTTGTGCTAATTTTCTCGACGCAGCGAGGTTCAATGGCGCTCTACAGTATAGGCTCGCGGAGCATCTTCGGCGAGCGTCTCGGCGCTGACAAACCCTGTTCACTTCGCATAATATTCACCGCCTTACAGAAACAAAATTGCGGTGCAGTGAACGCGGGCGCCGTCGATATCAATAACGCCGTGCGCCGCGCGTGTTCGTAGGCGTACGGCACCGAGGGTGATATACGGAGCCGATCGTTCTCCTGCCGCTAGCGGGCTATCGCGTGGCCGGCGCGAAGAAAGGAAGCGCCCACCCGGCTAACAAAGGTCGTCGTCGCCAATAATCCTCGCCCCGGTGAGCGATGATGCCTTATTACGTTAAAGGCGCCCGTGTAAGATCCACGTCTCTGTCTCTCTGTCTCTCTCTCTCTCGCGCGCTCTCTCTCTTCTCTCTCTCTCTCTCTCTCTGTCTC